GCGGGCGGACGAGCACTCCGAGGGCGAGCAACTTATGCGGATCGAGCCCGAGGAGGAGGAGCATTGTGCCCGCAGCGGAGTAGCCCAGCCGGCTGTGCAGCCGACGCAGTAGGGGCGATGTGGCCCGAGCCTAGGAGGCGGCATTTCACTGGGCTGGCCCGGCGGCCGGAGTTGGTCGACCTCACCGGCCCTGGGATAGGATGACAAGGATGCCTAGTGGCGCAGACTTTTTTTATGTTTAATTAACATTTAATGTTTATGTGGATTTTGGCTGGCGGTTGACCGAATTTTAATATTTAATTATGTTTTAACTTTGAACGTGATTGCTGTTTTTTAAAGTCCGCGTTTAAAAATATGGGTTGGGCCAGCGTTGGATGCACATGCCGACCCAAATGAAGAAACGGGCAAGGCCGACTCAATCGGACAAAAAATGGTCAAACCGTACGTCCGTTTAGGTCGGCCGGTTGAAGTTGCTCTAATCTCGAGCTTTTCTGACAGGCTTGTGAAACTAGTACCCTCCGTCTTCATTTTCGAACTCAAGAGAGCGCCAAAATAAATCGAATCCGCATAGGCGAGCCATTGCACATGATCTGATCTACCTCATCATTTCCAGGTAAACCAAGGCAGCAATCCAACCCGCAGCGTTTCCTGCCAATCAACGAGTCATGGAGTGCACATGCGTGCGCCTATTCCGGGCATCCTTCGGCATGTGGAGTCCAAATTTAGTTCAGATGCAATGGAAGAAAGCAAACCGGCATTCACTCCACGGGAATCCAACTCTCATCTGCACGTTATTTCCAATTTAGCGCGAATCCGTTTTCTGATAAAAGGAGGCTGCCTCCGCCCAATTTCGCAGCTGAGATCGTTCAGTGTGGCTGCATTTGTTCCACTTGATATTTAAGGCTGAACCATCCTGTCTGCATAAAAGAATGCATACACCATTTTTATCATTCTTTTAAAGAAAACATTTTGGGGATGTTTGTCTTAAGCCGACTCAAAAAATTTCAGACCCAGTCCACACCATCTCACCGTCTGTTGCCGCCATGGTCGTCCTGCATGCTCCCCAGCTACCGCTGCCTCGCCGCTCAGGGCGTCCTTTGCCCCCCCTCCTCCCTCCCTCCCTCGCGCCCGCACTTGACAAACTGAATTCAACTGATTGAGAAATAATCAACATGATATTTTGAAAATATTTGCATTTTCCTTGTGACCAGAGTTGGCTAGGTGGGCCAGGGCGCATACTGGGAACCAAACCTGAACTTCGATTATTGATAACCGATGATTTCCACCGTTTCAAAAAACATTTTTTGTTAGATTGTCATGTCTATTTTCATTTATAAAAAAACACCTCCTCGCAGATTTTCATTATAGGAACCGCCATCGGCTTGTTGTGTAACTGGTTTTGAGCTCCGATTTTGACATCCAGTGATGTCCACTGTTAGGGCTGGGCATTCGGTTTATATGGTTAATACGGTTCGGTTTATTCGGTGTTTTATAATTTCGGTTTTGTAGAAATGGAAACCGAATTAATCACACAATATTTAGAAACCGAACCATATTAACCATAATATATCGGTTCGGTTTATTTGGTTAACCGAAAAACCAAAATTTACATGCACTCATCAGTATATATCACAAGAGTTAGCAACCTTAACATCAGTCCGTGCTTTATTCGGTCAAGCAAACTAGTGAACATAACTAAGTGTAAAATCACATGGGGCGTTACATGTATTATGTACCGAAGAATATGTGTGATGCGTGTAAACTAAGCAACTCATGCACTAATTGATACACTAATTGCTAGTTACTTCCATAACCAAGCGCCGGGCATGCATACATACTCCTACGAGTACTAGTTAGATTGTGAGATTAGAAACTCATCTAGCGGCTGGCCTGACGTCTGCCACAACCAACAAGTATTTGCCAGAGGACGCGCCCCCGCTGCACTTTCGGAAACAAGGTATTGCATGGGGTATCGTACATATCGGTTTTTTCGGTGTATTCGGTTTTTGGACACTGGAAACCGAACAAAAACCAAACACTGAACAACCTTAAAATTTCCCACCGAACAAAAAATCGAATCACCGAATTAATAGATAAATCGGTTAATATGGTTCGGTTCGGTTCGGTTTTTCGGTTTTCGGTTCAAAAGTGCCCACCCCTATCCACTGTTTAAAAGAAAACATTTTGTGAGATTGTTGTGCAACCGACATGTCTTCCTCATCCCATCCTTATCACCGACCAGGGTTCTTCTTGACACGCCCGAAACTTGTAGCATTTCGCCACGGGAAAAATCAACACATTTTCTCACCAGTTTTCAAACACAAGATGATGCCCGGGTGGCGCAATCATAGAGCCGTGCAACCACCAGACTGCTGAAAGGAAGGGAAAAAAAACCCACACCAAACCTAGCTCTTCCAAAATTAATAATATATCGTTACCCGATAGTAACACTCTCAAGGTCTCAAATCATCATGTGGCCATGCTTCTCCTCGGCCCCCAAAAATCCCAAAACTGATCAGTGGATTGCTACTACGTAGACGTAGACAGTAGAAAGGAGTCCCGAAGCCGTATATACGGACGAAAGCTACCGCCCAAATACTACTACTGCTACGGATAATATGGACACCGCCGCGTACACGTGACCCACACTCTGCTTCCGCTTCTTCTGCTGCCGTTGCCGCCGCCGCTGCCCCTCAGCTCGCTAAAAGCCAGCCCAATCCCCTCCCCCCTCCTCTCTCCCCCACGCCCGCACCAAACGGCAGCAGAGAGAGGACAAGAAGCAGCAGGGGACCTCCGAGGAGCAGAGACCTCCAAGAATCAGAGCAAGAAACCAGGGAGAGAGTCGGAGGAGGAGGAAGAAGGAGAGCGAGAGGATGCACGGCGGCGGGTCGAAGATGCTGGGGGTGGTGAACTTCATCACCTTCCTGGCGTCGATCCCGGTGCTGGGGGGCGGCATCTGGCTGGCGTCGCGGGCCAACTCCACGGACTGCATCCGCTTCCTGCAGTGGCCCATCATCATCATCGGCCTCGCCGTCATGGTCGTCTCCCTCATGGGCTTCGCCGGCGCCTGCTACCGCCAGACCTGGCTGCTCCGCATCTACCTCTTCGCCATGTTCTTCATCGTCGTCGCGCTGCTCTTCTTCATCGTCTTCGCCTTCGCCGTCACCGACCGCGGGGAGGGCCAGGTGGTCATGAACCGCCGCTTCCTCGAGTACCAGCTCTCCGACTACAACGGATGGCTCCGCAACCGCGTCGCCGACCCGGAGTACTGGGCCACCATCAGCGCGTGCCTCCGCGACGGCCGCGCCTGCGCCTCCATGCGCCGCCCCGCCCGCGACCCCAACACCGGCATGCTGGTCACCGAGCCCCCCGTCATGTTCTACGGCCGCAACCTCTCCCCGATTCAGGTCCGCCCCCCCTCCCCTTCTCCCTCCCTCCCAAGATTCACTTCCTTCCTTGCCTCGCACACTATTTCCATGTGATGTGATTCTCGGCAATTCCCCAGTGCCAATCAGGAAATTTGGGGATTTTTCCTGCCACAAATGTTCCTTTTTTGTGTGTGGGGGAAATTTGGCGATTTTTCCTGCTACTAATGTTCTCTGCTTATTTCTGCAATTTGCTTTGGGTTCTGCTCGGATTATTGATTCAGTTTGAGTTTTCTCACACTGTTTAGGGAGGATATTCCAGTTTACTGCTACTTGGTGGCACCATGTGGATCTCGAGAGGAACCTTGCTTGCCCCCTTTACCATCAGCCCCCCTTTTGCTTAGCAAGTCATGCCCGACCTTTGAGCAAAATTGTTAATCCTGCAACCTTTTTGCTTCTCCCTGATTTGAGGCAAAACCAGCTAGGTGAGAAAAACAACTAATTAGCAGCCGCCCATCCGATTCCATCAACACAACTTTCTCCAAAAGCAGTCTTTTTTAGTTTTAATTGGTTCGTCCATGGAATTGCTTGACAACACAGAAGAAGGATCTTCGCCGCGGTTATGCGATTATTCGATGCGTGCCCGTAAGTAGAGACACTTTGTGGGGGTGATTTGGGACTCCAGATCATCAAGGATTGCTACCATCAGGCACGGAATATGTTTGGAAAAGAAAGTGTTTAAAGGGTGTTTTCTTTGGCTGATGTGAACAACTAACACAAAGTTTGTTCTTTCTGCATGGAGCAAAGATTCTAGTAGTGCCTTAAGCACTAAGGATTGACTGAATGGTCAATTTGATTCCTGGTCTATGTCCCTCTCCAGTCCAGTCACATATAACCAGGTACTACTATGAGTTGACACTACCGCGGATTCGCGGTGGTAACAAGTAGAATCTCCATGTGTGTGGTGATGCTGAGGATAAGGTCATTTTCCTGGCTTTTTCGGATGCCAAACCGGCATGGAGGACCAGGATATTTGTATGATTGAGGGATCTGGACACCATGGTGTGATGAGGACAGCCAAAAGACAGATGCTCAGTACCACATTTCATTTCAGAGTTGGAATTGGGCCATGGAAGCCTTGCATAGTTAGCTGCCTTGCTTCTTGTCCTGATGTTCTCTGTGCTGTCTTCTCCATGCCTGCCAGGCTGCTTGTTCTTTTCCTCTGCTATAATCTTCCAGAGCCGATGCAATGGTTGGGAAAAAAAACTCCACTGCCCCTGTGATTCTTTTTTTCCCTAGGGTCTATATAACTAGTGCATTATGGGCTGCATCTGTATTCTAATGCAGATTAGCTGTTGCCCATGTCTGCATGGATCTGATTATTATGGAGAAGTAATTATTGGGTTGTGGAATCAAGTTGTGTGCAGTTTAGTGCCACATGGGCACATAATTTGTGCATACATAGGGGTTGGTCCATTGCTTTTGAGTAGCAGGTTGGGTGGCTTTGTTTTCTCCACTGCACGCACACATAGGCATGTGATGGAGCATCTCATATGTTCAGTTTAAAATTGAGCTGGTGTGGATAATTTCGTGTTCGGTAATAGGATATCTAGAGCAACACCATTCATCATCTGTTTGTAGTTGGTATATATTTGTCTTCATTGAAGGTCGGGGTTCTGCTAGTCTAGGTGGTGACAGATAGTTACATATAAGTCTCCATACTGACCCAACTTTTATACAAGTCTCATTGGCAACTATGCTTAGTTTACTGCTGTGGTAGTTGTGTTCATGATGGGCGTACAAATTATGCTTGCAGATAAATTATTTTCTATGTAATTGCTTATTTATTTATGTTATTCTTTTTTGCAGCAAATTGCCGTCTGTAGCATTTCAATTAGTTAACTGTACATTGAGGCATTGAGCTAACAATATTGTAGAATGAACTTCAGTTCAGAGAGTTGAGTATTTCAGGTTAATGATCTGTCCACCGGCTCACTAACAAAACATTGTATTTAACTTTTAGTAGGAGGTATCCTGCCCATGAAAGCATACCTCGTGGTTGGTTCATGGTTTTCAGATGACTGGTTGGATGGCTTTGTTTTCTCCGGTGCATGAACATATATGCATAGGCATGTTATGGAGCATCTCATCTGTTTGGTTTTAAATTGAGCTGGTGTGGACAATTTCGTATTCGGTAATAGGATATCAAGATCAACACTATTCAATATGTGTTTGTAGCTGGTATATCTTTGTCTTCATTAGAGGTCTAGGTGGTGGCAGATAGATAAATATAGTCTCCATACTGACCCAACTTATGTACAAGTCTCATTGGGAACCATACTTAGTTTACTGCTGCAGCAGTTGTGTTCATGATGGGTGCACAAATTATGCTTGCAGATGCATTATTTTCTATGCAATTATTGTCTGTAACATTTCAATTATTTGACTGTACATTGAATCATCGAGCTAACAGTAATACAATATTGTAGTTGGAACTCATATTACATTAACGTACATGAAGTATGAATGACCTTCAGTCCAATAATCAAGTTTCATCTTGCTCAGTTAATTGGGATCTCAGAGCCTCAGCCCAAGCTGATGACCTGTAATATTGCATCTTCCCAACTTAACAACAACGACAATAGTCCATACAAAAATGCATTTTGTTGCAATATCCTTTTCTGTTCTAAAGTCTGAGCTGTACAACTCATTTTGGGTCTACAGAAAATGAAGTTTTTAATTTTGGATCTACATAAGTGAAGTTCTCAGTATGCTGTTCAGATTACTTGTGTGATTCCTCGGGATACTAACACCATTCTGCAACTGCCAATCACAGTCAGGATGCTGCAAGCCACCGACTTCATGCGCGTTCACCTACAACAACGAGACATACTGGAGCGCGAACCCCGGCGTCCCCACCGTGGTGACCGACCCCGACTGCCTCAAATGGAGCAACGACCAGCAGACGCTGTGCTTCCAGTGCGACTCGTGCAAGGCCGGCGTCCTGGCCGGCATCAAGAAGAGCTGGCGCAAGGTGGCCATCATCAACATCGTCGTGCTCATCATCCTCATTATCGTCTACGTCGCCGGCTGCGCCGCGTTCCGCAACGCCAAGAGGGACGACAACGACGAGTCGTATGGCATGGCCAGGATGACCAAGTCCCGGCCGAGCAGGTTCCAGTTCTAGACCTGCTGCGTCGAAAAACCGGGAAAACCTTTGCCTGTACAAAAGGCCACTCACTGTGGGCGGTGGTGTTAAGGCTTTGGCCTGAACTATATTTCTTACTGAACCGTGTGGATGATGGTCGCCTGTAGTTGGGGGGTGTGGAAGGGAAGATGTTCATGGATCGAATGTTTAGTGTGGTGTTTAGGGTAGGTCTATTCTGTATTTGGTGGTACAAGATGAGGTCTGCAAGGAACAGGAGGGGCTGGCTCATTTTAGGAATGTATTATTCTGCACTTGGTGATTTTGATCTGTCATCTTCCTTAGTAGTAGTCCATGCTATTATTATGATTGCCATCACTCTCAGTATATCGTGTGCAATATGGAGATTTGCTGTTAGTATGATGTGTCACAAGATCCCTTCTTTTTTTGGATTTTGGAGGGATGGAGTACCAGGCCATATTTTCAGTCCATACCCATTCCTAACACATTGGGGCCCATTTTGCTCTTTTTTCTTAATTCCACCACAATGCTAGACATTTTTATCCAGACCCGCCTTTTTAGCCCATTTGGCCGCATTGCTTAGAGAGAATATCACATGAAAACCAAGTTTTGATGAAAACCTTGTTGAAATGATATTTTTAAGTTTCAAAAAAATCTGAAAAAATGCAGAATATTAAAGAGTGTGATGTTTATTACATGCGAAATTTCCAAGCTCAAACAAAACACCATTATGAGGTAGAAAAAAAATTAACATTGAATAGTGTTAAACAATAAATGTCCTGTTCCATGTTGAATTTGTTCTTTTCATAGCTCATAAATGGTAGTATGTTTGAACTTGGAATTTCACATGGCAGTAGAACATCACCCTCTTAACATCCCATTTTTTTTAGATTTTTCTGAAACTTTCAAACATGGTTTTCATGAAGTTTTCTTTGAAATTTGGTTTCCATGTGAAATTCTCTCCATTTCTTAAACTCCATGAGTGAAGAAGCTTCGTTGGACCGGCTAGGCACTACTTATTTCATCTTTTTTTTAGGATCGACTTATTTCATCTTAAGAATTATCCACTTGTGTGATTTGCTGTAACTTTCATTGTTTTATTTCGTTGATTGTTTCATGTCTTGTGCAGCCAAAGCTAACAGAGCGAACAAGTTGTCTATTTCGGGTCGCTATACATAATTTCTTTTCCTTCATCAAGCGAAGGGATCTGAGGCTGGCAATTTACTACTTTCTTCGTTCCTAAATATAAGTCTTTGTAGAGATTTTAGTATAAACTACATATGAAGCAAAATGAGTGAATCTACACTCTAAAAAACATCTACATACATCCGTATGTGATTCATAGTAAAATCTTTACAAAGACTTATATTTAGGAACAGAGGAAGTAGGAAAGACTGCGAAGGAACATGTTAGACTTCAGATGGAAGATGGAACACGTTGTTGTGTGTACCATATATCCATTTTCATTTTTGTGTCGTTATTCAACAAAGTTTGCAAGGAAAGCCACCAAGGATGACCGTTTCAACTTGATAGTATGAATTTTTTGAAGCCGAGGATCAGACTGAGTTATCATGTGCACGCACACAGGTACCATTTCAGTTCCCAGACAAGTGTAGTGTATGTAATGGATGACGGTACGTGCCTGATCCAGATTATTTTTCTTTAATTCAGCATGTTATTTTCTCTGTTGTTATTCCACAATGATAACGGGATACTGGGTGTGTCGATTGCGCGAGCCAATGCTTGAAGTTTACAATCTGAGTTTGTTCAAAAAAGTTTAAGATCTGAATTGGATTACGTGGTCGTTTGATTTTGCCTTCTGAAGAATTATGTCATTGTGTGGTCAATTTGCAGGCAAGTATGAGACGGTGGTGCGATTATTGGCCAGATGAAGATTAAAAATGTAAATATTAACTTATATTTACATCTGTATTTTTACATACATTGTACAAGTATACAACATATAACACTATGTCACTGTACAAGTATACATATTTACGTTTTCTGTACGCTCTAACGGGCCTAGGCCCGTACCCCCACCTAATGTGGGGGCAAGAGGACGCGTCGAAGGCCGCCATATAAACTGGCGCATTCTGTGGCAGGCTAGCGATGCGGTACAAAGCCCATCAAACTCCTTTTCCTAGGGGATCCGATCAATCTACTTCTGTACTGGCGTCGCCTCAACAACAAAAAATCTACTACTGGCGTACGAGTCCGGGAGCTCCTCCTATTGGGCGCTTCAGGTGCCCAAACTCCTCCCTGGCGCTCACGCGCGCGTAAACTGAGCCGGCCCAGGTCGCCTCATTTGGCTCGTTTGTACGATCTCGGTTGACTTCGAAAGAGAAAAAAATCCGGAAAATTCTAAAAAATTCGTGAATTCAAATTCTTTATGAATTTTGAAAGAAAAGTTCACAAACTTCCAAAAAGTTAATGAATTTGAGGTTTAACCCCCAGCGGTGCGCCCGTTGCTCAAGTAGCGCTGAGGGTTCCGCTACTCTCTACAGCACTCGGCCGGGCCATTTCTTAGCGCTCGCTCACTGCTGCTCAAGTAGCGCTGAGGGTTCCGGTACTCTCTACAGCACTCGGCCGGGCCATTTCTTAGCGCTCGCTCACTGCTTTTCGCTGTGTTTTGTTGGTGCATTCCTTTTCCGTTCTTTTTAGTCGTTCTTCCTTTTTTTTGTTTCTTCACGGGGTTTCATTGGTTTTTGGTTTTTCCTTTGTTTTTCAATGTTTATTTGCTTTATTCTGGGTTTTTCTTTGTTTTTTATTATGTGTCTTTTTCTACTTTTATTGGTTTCTCTTTTCTGTTTTATTTTCTTCAGTTCTCTTTGTTTTCATCCGTATTCTTTTTTTGTCTTTGGCTTTTCTTTCTTGATTTTGTTTCTTTTCTCATGGATTTTCATGGTTTTCTTTTGATATTTTGGTTTTGTTCATTTTTGTAGTGTTTCTTTTGTTCCTTTCTTTCCATTTCTTTGATTTTTCACCTCTTTTTATTTTCTTTAACATATATCTACATTTTTCATGCATATTTATACATTTTACTTACATATTAGGAACACTTTTTTATACATGCCAGACTTTTTCTAAATACATGATTAGCATTTTTTTTAAAATCGGTAGTTGTACATTTTCAGCACATATCACATTTTGAAATACATGATAGAATTTTTTTTATATACACAATCAACATTTTGCAAAATTTATGAATATTTTTAATAAACATTCTACATTTTTCATCACATCAAAAATAATTTATTACACGTTTAACATTTTCAAATATATGATTATCAGTTTTTCAAAAAAAATAGAGATTTGGTGAAAAAATCATACTCATTGTACCTCTTTAATATATATTAGGTACTTATTTTAAGGGTTGACATTTTTTAAATATATCATTAACATATTTTGATATATGATCAACATTTTGGAAACATTGTGTTTTTATTTTTAAAAAAATTAATGCAGATTCTACATTTTGGGTATATACCAGAAATATTTTTTATACACGTTTAGCATTTTTCCAATAGATGATTAACATTTTTTTCAAATGATTGAACAACATTTTTAAACACATGATCAACTTTTTCATATACATTGTATTTTTATGTACATTTTTTAATGCATGAGAAATATTTTTTCTATACTCATTTCTTTTTTTGAAATGCTAGATTAACCTTTTTCATATGTTTCAGTAAAGTATTTTTGGTCATATATATTTAGAGTATCTGGAAGTAAGCAAAAACTGAAAACAAAAAGGTGAAAAAAAATAGAAATAAAAGTGAGGTTGTGGCCTCCGGCGAGCTGGGTCATTCAGTCTCGCGCTCCGACAAGCCAGGGTTACCCTACGTCCTGCGTCAAGGGAGACATAGGCACGCTCCTTAATAATACGAGGGTAACTAATTAAGAGGCATCCCTTGCGAGAGCCCTGCAAGGGTCATTTTTGGTGGGATGAGAGCGCTTCACCCTATGCGTTCTTAGTCGCGTGCTGGGCGCTCCCTCAGGATTTTGTTTTTAATGCATTTTCGGCGTTTAGATGGTGTATTTTTTTCGTGTTTTTCGGTTTTCCCATGATTTTTGAGAGAAATTTTTTTACAAAAAATTCCACGTGCCTTTCAACAAATTTGCTTCTTACTGAGGCATAGATTTGCTTCTTTGCTTGCACAAGAGCAACAAATTTGCTTCTTACTGAGGCATAGATTTGTTTCAGTAAGAGGCATGTGCCTTTCAAGGGGGGAAACATGTTTTCTTTTTTATTTCTTCTTTTACGAGATGCACATATTTATTTTTGTGGAGGCATGGTTTGGTGCCGCGAGAGGCACGGATGTACCTTTCAGAAAGGGAAAATCCATGTTTTTCATCAATGAGAGCCAAATTTTGTTTTCTCAAAAGGCACATATTTGCTTTCACAAGAGGCACAACTATGCCTCTCGGAAAAGAAAACGAATACATTTTTTGGCTTCCACACAAGGATGAGATTTTCTTCTCATGGAGGCACGAATTTACTTTCATGAGTGCACAATTGTGCTTTCCGAAAAGGGAATAAAAGTGAAAAAAGTGTTTCTGGCTATGAGTTTTTTCTACTATTTTTTCCGGGTTTTTTCCTGGAAAAAAAGTTCATCGTAACCTATTAACATCGGGTCTAGTTTCAAAAATCTGAGAAGGAATCCAACGATGAAAATGCACCTGAGAAGGTGGGCGAGTGACCGTTACAAGGCATGCCCATTAATTAGTTTTTTTAACTCGCTAAGCTTAATTTATGTCAAACCAATGTTCATAGGTATAAAAAGAAGATCATCGAGTTGTCCAAACCAAACATGACAGCCAAACCCAAGTGATAGAGCAAGGTGTGAGCCTCAATATTTGAGCTCCTGAACTCGTTGACTATGTTACATGAAGAAAAAAACAGTAGAATGCTCTATTATTTCATGAATTATTGCTCCATACTCCGTTGATGATCCATGCTTCACTCCGTCCACCACTATCTTGGTGGTTTGAAGTCACATGAATCTTTTGCACATAAA